ATATTTTGCAATATTTTTAATAAAATCGGTTTTATGACTTTCAAAACTATCTAAAACTAAAAGACTTTTTGGTTTTGTAATTTGATTTCTTCCAGGTCGTTTTTCCCATACTTTATTAAACCAAATTTTCATTCCAGCTTCATCCATCCATCCTTTTGGATGCATAGATACGATAATTTTTGATGGTAAATCTTTTGGCATCAATTTACCCTTAAAAATAACCATAGGTAATAATTTCGTTCCATCTGCAAGTACTGTAAGAACACATGTAAATCGATTATTTTCATTTCCGGTTGTTCGAATTTGAACAGTTTTTGCACCAAGCTTATCAATAGTTAAATTTCCAACCATATCAAAATAAACAGGTGTTTCATCCATATTTCCTATTTCAAAAAAATTATATTCGAATTGTCTTCGTTTTCTAATAATAAATCGTTGAAATTCCAAAAGTTTATCATCAAGATGTGCAGGAAGCTTTTGACCAACTTTTGTTTTACGTCGCAAAGAAAGATCATGCCTTTTTAAAAAACCATAGAACCAACGATCTGAAGCAAGAAATTTTTCATCGGCACCCGGGTAAATATCAGCAAATTTTTTTTTTAAAAGTTCTTTCATATAAGTTTTAGCAACTTTAGTGGTTACAGCAATTCCATCTTGTCGATATTCAAGGATCCATGCATTCAAGTCAGCTTCGGCCTCAGGATATTGTGCATTTCTTCCTAAGTTTTCACCAATTCGTCGACTTTTCTTTTTTGCGGCTTCAAGTTTTTCTTTGTTTTTATGCCAACGAGAAATCATTGAATGGTCAATATCAAAGTGGCGTTCGGCTGTCCTAAAACCATTCTGTTCTGCATATTGCAAAACTTTAAGCTTTTCGGCAACAGAGTATGATATGCGTTTAGTTTTTGACATTTGTATGAAACTATCTAAATTTTTGCTTTCGTTTTATATATATATTTTTTTATTGTTAGATCGTGGCTTTATAAATTTGGAATGCACATGTTATGTACGCAAATGTCATTATAAAAATTTCAAACAGGTGATTACTGGTTGGTATGTTAATTTATTTTTGATACATTGTTTCGTGATTACGTTTATTAATTAATTTTTCTATCTATTATTGTCATTATACTTATATAGTAAGGCTACTACGAATGATAATCAGTGAAGACATAGCATCTATAAAATAATAATAGAATGACGAGGATGAAACAAATTCAGCATGAAATAAGAGATGCTGTTGAGCATACCGGTTGAGATCAAGAAAGACACTTAACTATGCACCCAAGTATCGAATATTCATTTCTGTACAAGCTATACGAGTACGCGGAGGATCGGAAGTAAGGTATGACTACATTACTAAGTATGAATGAAAACTTTAAATTATGTAATGACGAGTACATTTGTTTTAGGATCAAGAGGATCTTTAAAAGAAATTCAATAACCTACATTTTAACATTAAATTCAATGACAGAGTAGGCGAGGAATAAGCAATCAGCACGTGTGCAATTATGGCGAAGAGAATTGGAAAAAAAATCGAAAATCTTAGTAAATATTTCGAATACTTACTATAATAATGGAACAGCGAGGGCAATAAGTAATTCTGATGAGGGATATTTTTCCTAGTAAGATAAAAGGGTATTATCAGAGGTTTGCAAAGTGAAAAAATATTTAAGAGGAACGAAGATGGTGCTACTGCCTGTCCCACCCAAATGAACGAATTGTTTATAGTAAAGGAATCGATTTGTAATACTAGCGTTAAGAATGGTGATGAATGATTTAGTGAGGATATATTATTATAAACCGGCAAGCTGAGTTAGATCCCGAAATATACCTGATGCAAACTGAGGAAACATCCAGTGATGATAATGCTAAAGGTCATCAGGATTAGATCGCTTATACGGTATTAATAAAAAAAATGAAAAAGACGAAGATAGGTAGATCAATCTGAATATATAGCACAAACTGAGGAGATGTCCAATGATGTTAATGTCGCAAATGATCTGTATCTTCCCGTAATTGACAATGACAGGGTATCATGATGAGGTAATCGAGACGCCTATATCGGATAAAGTTCTATATTATAGGGCAAGGAAGTGAGAGCTTATTGTGTGACTTTATGTCAAAGGATTGAAAGAAAGTTGACCTTTCGATTTACCCAAGAAATTGGAGAAGTCATCAAACATGCGAAAAGGATAGAATGGTGAAGAATTATAAGGCAGAGAAGAGCATTACAATAGATTAGCTTACTGCTTTTGAGATTGAGTCGAAAATAGGTATGTTAGGTCTAGATCACGGGCTTATCTATAGGTGTATATAGAGA